GGGGGGGGGGGGGGGGGGGGGGGGGGGGGGGGGGGGGCGCTGCGGAAAGAAACACAATAATAAAACAGGCAATTTTTTATGTGGTCAACGTCCACTTTATGCGAACTAGTACTAATCGGGACGATAGAAAATTAAAAATTAATAATGATGTTATGCCGTGCAGCCTCCTACCAGCGTACCAGTGAGTCTGATAGCAGTTTCATAATCGGGCAGAAGCCTTTCCCTCGTATGTACGGCATGATGCCACGCTGCAAATGGGCATTGGGTATCAAGTGGGGCTGTCACTATAAGTTGATACATCAATACTACTATCGATGATTGGAAGAATCGATAGTTTTTTCAACCATCGCAATGTATGCGCAAAATGTTTAATGGAAAACGCCTCATTGGATTGAGACGAGTACAGTACAATACAGTCCGGGCGGGGGAAAGGAAGAGGCGGCGTGACCCGCACGGGCTTTCAATTTCTTATCACAATAAATTTCTGGAAAAGCTGGGACTGCCTACATGAAAGAAGGAAGGAAAAAAAAACCCGTTGGAATCGGAGACAGGAAATGGGAAAAGGAGAGGGAGGGAACACAGAATATTTCTCTTCTGTTTCAGTCTTCCGCTGGATCTCATGAGGTGCATGCTGGAATGGATGCCATCGCGTGGCCTATCAGAGGCAAGAAGAGGTGCGTAGCGTGTCCGGGTGTCATTATAGCTTCTCTCTTCTCATTTTTCATTCCTCCCAACCCCCGAACACGCTACACACTTCTTCACTCTAATCGGTCGAGTGACGTCATCCGATGCGTTTTCTTCGCGCTGTATCTGCTTAAGGGATGGTTCAATATATGCGTAGTTTTCAGAAAATCATCAATCATCAGTTTTCAGATAATCATTACTGTCATCATGGCACAAATGGAGCTCAAGTTACGAGAAAAGCAAACCTCCTCTATAGGTCTTCTGAAATTTGATTTCACACGACGAAGAAGCGTATTTAAGTAGTTCCTTTCAGTTTCAGCCTCAAATCCGTATTCAAATATGATTCTTAAATATTTCGTTAGAGCTTTTGCGAGGAATGGAAGTGAAAACATGATTGCATTATCCACTGCCACCTGCACACGTCTCGAACTCGTATTCCGATTCAGAATCCATGTAGAGATTCCGACTATGTACGCCATAGTGAATTCACACATTACTGTAAAGGGAAAAATAGTATGCATGCCGATTTCATTATGACATGTATCGTCACCATGTGCCTATTAGTTATGAATTAAAATCATCCTTATCATCTTTTGTGGTCATTCGTTTTTATTGATTTGTTTAAATGTTTACATATGAAGGTAATATTCGGATTCACGGTGGATATAGTGCATCTATTCGACAACACTGTCTCTAGACCGATGCACGTCTTGCCTTTCCGTCTCCTGTTCACGTTAAGGACCGTGTTTGTTTGAGCTATAGAGTCTACCCGGTGTTTCTTATTCTCCATGACGTTAAGTTCAGGGCTGTGGCTAGACCTAAGCGTGCAACTGGCGCAAAGCCAGATGGCCGCGTTCTCATCTCCGTGTACTTGGCGGAGTCTTCTCATGAGAGAGACTTATGGATTAAGTGGGAGCCATGGGAGGGCCAGACAAGGCTTGGGGCTCAGGGTTTGTCTGGACGAACACCCCTTCCTTCTTAGCCTTGCTGCCTTCGTCATGCTATATTATACCGACGGCGCTCCAAATTCACACTTCCTTTCCATTTTCCGTCCTTACGAACAGTGTTGTCATTGAACTAAAAAAAAAGAAGCATTATGGGTATGCATTACATTTTCGACAACTTCGGTATAGGTCTCACATAGGGAGGGAGAGGCGGGTAACCAAAAGGAACTTCGTTTATTCAATGACGGGCAGGCGGCCTCTTTTGATAGCATCTGGGAACCACCGTCTTGGGAACCTACGCTTCGCCTAGGTCCCCAATCCTAGATACCTAAAAGACTCTCCCACCTGCTGATTAGTGTGTAAGCGAGGCCTTTTTGTCTTCAGACTCTCCCCCCTCATATAATCTTCACTCTTCTAGTGCCCTGTATCAGTCCTCTGCCTGCTACGGCACGAATATAATGTATAGTAGGGTAGAATGGATAAGGAAGCTATCGTTCTATCAGCGGATAGACAGCTATATGCAATGTTGCTTAGAAGAAACCACGCAACTTAGTTCGATCATAACTTTTGAAGAGTTTTAAGTTTTTCCATGCCCGCTAGAAGGCGGTACGTGATGATATGGAGCTTTATGCTCAGCTGTACGAAGATAAAAATTGAAAAAGGGGGTTTAAATAGAGAATAACGCTGGCATCTATAGTGACTGTAATCCGTGTAACGCACTCACTTAAGTTTTGCTCTTGTGTGCATTAGTGGAAATGGACGGCGATAATTTTAAACACTACTGCTAGATATGGGGCGGTCATTTGACCAACTTTTAATTGACCGCTCTTTTTTATTATTAAATGAATTTAGAAATTTTAAAAGAGCTCATTACTGCGGTCATTTATCCTTTAGCACTAAAACCAAAGAGCCAGTTCCATTTTAAAGTTTTGTTTTTTTTTTGCAGCCCGCCAAACATCTGGACTGTGGCATCTATTGGATAGGAAAATATTACTGCATAGCTAATGCTCAAACTACCATGACCTGATTGTTGTAGCGTGTGTGTACAGGCACAGCCTGCTGTTCAAGGTCTTACATCCTTAATGGCTTTGAAAGTTAGGGTTCAAGATCTAAGTTACAGGTTTAGAACTTTAGTTTAATGCAAGGTCTATCGTGGTCTTGGCGAATAATATGCATCAGAGCATCAAATTTTTTTCAGTCTCTGAGGGACAAGTAAACTTAATTGGTTTATGTCTAGGTCTGTGCCAAAAAAAATTAATATAGCTAAGAATAACTTCCTTGAGCAAGGCAAAGGCTTTTTCCTGACAGGAAAATGAATAAATACATATACCAGAAACCAAGAAACTCCAGTTCTAGACACTGTGTTGCATTATTCAGAGGGTTCCCTATCATCTTGCCGAGTGACAACTCGCCGAAATCAATTTGTCGACTACAACTCGCCAAAAGTTCATTTTGTCGAATGACGATTCACCGACTTACAATTCACTGACTCCTCAACTAGCCGAAAGTTCCATTCGTCCAGTGACGATTCGTCGACTTATTATTCACCGATAGCTCAGCTTCGAGATTTCGAGTCCAACTACATTGGAAATGTTGGAAGAAGTGGTCGTCGCCGCCAGCCTCTGTTTCCCCCTTCGTTGTGGTCGCAGTACCAGCAGTACCAGTTGCTGGCCTCCCGAGGGGAGTACTCCCCCTCAGTAGCTCAGTGAACAAAGCCCATCTTTCGGTGTGAGCCCTGGCTCTGAAGCTTCAACGGAAAGAAGCTTCTGTTGCAGCTCTATCGAAGCGCCTAGGGCGCTTCATCAGGGCATCAGCTTCCAATGCCCAAAAGAAACATCGTCGGGTGAACGGTAACCTAACCTAACCTAACCTAGTCTATTTCTTATGAGTCATGACAAATGAAGCACAAACTGTGCAGAAAAAAAAACAATTGAAAGTTTGGCTTATTGACTATAAATGACCATAGTTGACAATATTGACCAATCAATTGACATGTTTTTAATTGATCGGTCAAAAACCAACCCCTACTTACTGCCCTATTCCTCTCATGATATCATTTATGCCTGTTCTTTAATGCATGCGCGACCAAAGCCCTCCCTATCAACATATAACACCATCGGACGGACACAGAAAGGATACATTTTAAGCCCAACAATGCATGTCTAGTATCAGCTGCATGCGACAGTCCCTTTCCAAGGGACTGTCGGAAGCAACTGATGTTTGGCAACGTCATGACCAAATTTCGGTCTTCCTTCAACTGTCGCCTCTAGAATGAGGACTTATATATTCCACCTTTAGGCGCTTTCTCCTTTTTGTACTGTCAAAGTAAAAATCTAAGGTAGCTAATAGCTAAAATCTAAGGTAGCTGACAATAGTTTGTCACTGATGGGAATTCCAGGAAAATGAATGCATAGAGCATAAAAGTTCTATGAGTATGTTCACTCTTCCTCTAAGAGGAAGAGTGAAAGAGATGGAAGGAGGGTTACGAGTGCTTCCGCCTCAAACGATTTTTCAGTGTTTTCTCCCTGTCTTGGGTGGGGAGGGTCCTGGGGGGTCCCCATCACAGCCTAAGAGAGATGGGCGTCTTAGCCGGTTACGCGAGTCACTCCTGGATGCCATTAGATAAACCCCCCGCCCCCCATGCTTTTCATACTACAGTATATCCGATCTTTTCTCATTGACAACATAAGAATTTCTTCAATGCATCCGTCCAAAGAGGTAATCCAGCTCTTGAGGCTGAATATTGATCAACAGGATGGAGGAAAGAGGTCTTGACTCCATCAGCTAATGATGCTCGAGACTTGTTCGGTAGACGTTTCGTGGACTGGGCGTCGTGTGGCTTAATCGTTAAAGGTATCCAACGTGATAATTTGATGAGCTTAGTCAGGAGCCTATCCCTCTGTATTATAGGGATGGATATATTGTTTTATTTCAAGCCCAAGCTTGTCCCCATTTTCATGCTCGGCCTTGGTACTCGTTTCATCATTCATTTGATTTAGACACATATAATTTAAATTATGAATGATGAATGGTTGATGCATTTGTAATAGAGGATAGGTTTAAAAAAATATGAAAAAAACATTCAATTTATTAGTTAATATTTTTTAAACAAATCATCTCCCATTACAAATAAATATAAAATAATGCTTATTTTACACTGTTGTCAAGTACCTGAGAAATTTGGCACCGGTGTATCCAGCGAAAATCGTCTAAAATCTTTCTTTAAGTCGGTGAGTTGAATATATGGAGGGTTCTAGTCGGCAAGATAGAATTTTGGAAGTTAAGCATTCGAGTTGAATAATCGATGAGTCGTACGTCGGCGAATTGAATTCGGCGAGTTAACCGGTCACCGTTTTTCAGGGACTAAAAATAGACTCCTACGATTGTCTTCGGGGTGCAAGTCAAACACACGATCTGCAACTTATTAACTTGCGCCTTTGGAGGTTAGGCTCATTTTGAGGAAAGAAATGAATCTGAATTTTCGTATCACATCTTTCATGGGTCATTCCATGGGACTGGCCTTTGCAAACGTCACACGAGCCCTAATGCGACGCATGAGACATCTGTAGGTGTTCTTGCTACACACGACTTTCTACTGGGGAATAGGGAGTTTCTTTTAGTCAACTCTAAGCAGATCATTTCAGTGACCATGAACTGTCTGCTATTGTACTCCTGCTGATTTTCTTTTAATTATTTTATTTCCTGTTTGTTGAAGTTCCTCCTGTCCTTCAAGTTTCGGCATTAGGCCTAGAGGTATAGATATTCCGTTTCATACGAACCAGCAGATCATAAAGAAATGGAGACCTACCTGAGCTAGGCCTCAAGTTGGGCCGAGATTTTTGCCCAACTCAACACAAAAGCGAAATTTAAGAAGGAAACTTCTTGTGTGCCTTTTTCTTCCGAAATCCACATCGTACCATAGATTTTCATGAATCAAGATGTGGAACCATATGGTTCTAGTCCGAATTCCCATCGCTATCCTCATTATTCTGCTGGATCATAAACCTCCCTGCTGACGTCCCCAAATGTTGTCCTCTCATCGAATGAACCCTACAAAGGTGGCGCTTACGTCGTCATTAATCTCATTCACAGAAGTTTCTTTCTTGGAAAAAGCAGAAACATATCGTTGGGCAAGTAGCTTGGTAAGTACAGTACCTATTCGAGTGTGATTGAGAGTATGAGATGGAAAAAGTTTATCAGTTCAGAATAGTTCCCTTCGCATGGGAAGTTTTGTTGAGCAGCTGGGCACGATGAAACCTAGATGCCCTGCATCTCTTGTTTTTTTTTTTTTAATCATGAATCTTATTGGCTCCTAGGAATTATAGGGAAGAAGCATGTCGGTCCAGGTCGGGTGTATCGGTTCGACTACGAAGAGACAGAGGAGAACAATTCAGTATTGCAGGTGGGACGGAACATCACCAAAATGAAACTCCTCGTCCGGGAATTCCTGGCTCGACAGAACTCATCTCAGTGAGTCTTCCCTTTTCATCATGGTAGCATGTCTCCCGGGAAGTGGCGGGGATTGATATCTTGCATCTGAAGGGAGTGAAAGCTGTTACACATATCCCATATATTGCTACCTTTTCTAAGTAGTTTCTCAGAGATTAGCATGAAATCTGACGAAGGACTGGAGAAGTTGTCCTCCGCCACTATTGTCATTGTCAGGAGCATAGTAGTAGTGCATTTTCTCCTTGCTAGCTCAGGTAACACGGAGAAAATTGATTTTAAACCTCTCCCACTCAGACTACTACTGGGTTCTTTAATAATTGACAAGCCGAGACCTCGCATCAGTAAAATGAGTCCGCAGAAGGAAACCAGTCCGTTCATCTATATACTTGTCCCCATCCTAAGAAAAAACGTTCTCTTTCGAGCAATCAAGAAGATGATTGATCTTTCGAGCCATCATATTCGTGATGCTCAAAATTGCCCGAAACGATTACGAAGAATCCTACATCTTTGGAAAGCTCTCCCTGTCTGTTTGATTCAGGAAGCAATTCGTTAAAAAAAAATCTTGCAGGGGCCCCGATTAGGCGATTAAGGAAAGTCGGAAGGATCCGTCCGGAATATCTTCCTCTCGGGATCATCGGATCCAAGCAAGACTGTATCGATGGAAAGTTTATAGCATTGGGAAGCTATACATCTCCCTTTCATCGCTTTTGCAGCTAAAACTAAGGGAGCAACTATCAATATGCAGTCGAAAAGATTGGAATAGGTCAGAGGTGTTGGGTTTGTAGCATGGGACATTACCGGACAAATTATACTCATCGCCAAAAAAAGCACGACCAAGGAGATCTGGATGTAATTTTGTTTACAAGCTCTTACTAGCATACTATGAAATCGATCAGAGTTTCAAGTGTGTGAGATGAACACTAGTGGAGAAAACTTGCCAATTAATCCAATTTCAATAACGGCTATGGGGTCATACTAATCGCTCGAAGCAGTTACCTAGAAGGCTTTTACTGATGAAACACGGCAAGAAAACTCCTAAAGATGTGCACATAAATCGAGCGAGAGTTTCGAGATCGTGAGATGAGGCAATGCAGAGAAAACTTGCAAAATGCTGGAGAAAGTGGGACGCATTTATAGGCTTCATGCATCAAGCTGATGCATAGATCAAATTGTTGCTTGGTAAGCATCCCGATTACCCTCCATGGATCAAACACCCTAACAACTTGATGAGATTGCTTCCAGAGATCTCATCTTGGCACTACCTCGCCGTTAGACACATTATCAACGGACCTATGGTGAAGAGGCTTGAGGTGCAGAGAAAAGAAACTGGCGCCTTTAATTGCGCCGCCCTCTTCCCCGATTCCTCCGACATTTAGCATGCTTTCTCCGCATTGCCTCATCTCACGATCTCGAAACTTTGCTCGATTTTTCTGCCTTCATCCATCACACTTGAAACTCTAATCGATTTCGTAGTATGCTAATACGAGCTTGTATACCAAATTTCATCCAGATCGCTCAATTCCCTGGTCGTGTTTTTTTTTGCCAATGAGTGTATTATGGATTTTTAAATCCTTTTTAATTTTATTTTTACTCTCATGTGGGAGTATAAATCATGTGAATACCACTACCACTACCGTCTCGAGATGTGGGAAAAGGAAATACTCATCGGCAGAATTTTTTGTATCCTTCCATTTCGACTCTCGGTGTCATCTTATATCAATTTTGGATTGATTGATATTCATCAAAAGAAGGGACACCTAACCTTTCTCGAAATGGATTTTTACTTACTCAAGAAGGGATACATATTCAATCTCTCCTGAGGCTTGCCATTCATATCAACAGGAATTCTTATATTTTTGATTGTGCTTTCGAATATGCTGAAGAACGCTTCATCCGTCAGAGAGGATCTACATTTACTTCCGACAGTTCGCTAGAAAACTCATGATATATGATAATCATTAGACCGACGATAATGACATACAACTCTCAAAGTTTTATATTCACATTCATACTTGACTAGGACTGGTTTTTCCTTTGCACCGAAGTGAAGTATATCATAAGAATGGCGGAAAATTACGAAAAAAATTTCCTTCACATCTTCAGGGCAGTCAGATGCTGATGAGGATTACCAAATGAATTAGCAGATGATAATGAGAATTACCAAATGAATTAGCAGATGATAATGAGAAGAAAAGGCAAATCATGCATGGTAATTTGTGCAGCATACTCGCGTTAGTAATGAAGTACTGTATATTCTTGATTCCAGGAAAAGACACACAGTAATGACATCAATATTTAATTATGTCTGAGATTCCATCACTTTTACGGGCAAATCGCAATGCTTTGTCTTCACAATGTCGCCAATCGTTAAGTATATGATGAAAAACACTTGCAGATATCGATGAAGCGAATCCAGAAAACAGAACCAATTGGCATGACCTAAATCTCTCTAAATCGATGGATTCGGACTCCATCATTACTTTCATGGGCACTCCTGAACTGAACGAACGCCAGCCTGGAAAATAAGCAAGGAATCAAATTAGCAGCCAATTTCCATTGACGCCACCTTCATCTATGGGACATGAGATATACGTATTTTAACTTAGTACTGGGCCCGAGCAAAACTCAAGTTGAGGACATTCTGGTAGGAAGGGATGAGCCACAATTTTGTCGAGCGGGATTGGGAGTTTGCATCTCCAATCTCTTCTTCTTCCTCCTAGACGCATACCAGCGTCAAAGCCTGACAATGACAAAATTGTTTAAATATAACTATTTTTTTTTGCACTTGAATGTGGTCCGACCAGATGCCGTTGACCTACCGAGACTTACTGAAGCCGAAATTTGCGGACATCGCTGACCCAAACTTGATCAACATCACATAATCAAGCGAGAGTCAAAGCTTGTGATACAATAGAAATCATATCAGACCGATCGAAGCGAATCGGAAGAAAGCCGAAGTTGTATGAAAATGTGAAAGGTTACTTTGGCCTATTAGCAGGTACGAGTGCATCGTATTTGGCCTAGGACAAAATACTGTCCATAAAGTGAGTAGTAATTATGGGCGACTATTTTACTATTGACACGGAAGTATTAATAACAATTTTTTAAATGTTGTAGGCTGAAAACGTACCGACCTCGGAATATTGTGGGATCTTTCCTCCAATCACTTTGGCATGGCCGAGAATGAATTTCCCAGGTATTGGGTTTCAAATTTTTTTATTCGTTTGAATGGAAAAGAAATGGAGACTAAAATTCGAATAAAATTTTCCCTTTGATCTTATTGCACCAACCTCTTGTAATCATCACGAGATTAATTGAATAATGGAGTGTTTTGGGGAATTCAAATTCGTAAAAATAAGGAGTTACTCGACAAAATGGTTCAATGTGTCGACTGCCGATTTCCTGACATTTCTGAGTCACGGCAATTCTATCGTCGCCAAGATCTATGAGGATTTCCTCACTTATCTGGCACACAGCATGAGTGATATTCTCTATTGAGTTGTTTAGTTATGTGGGCTTGTCCTTTGAAAAAAAGCCTTTCTCTCACTCGTTTCAGAATGTTTTTATGCAAATTTCTGAACCTGTAATTGAAACAAGGGTCTGGGAAATTAATTCTCATTCACACCAGAGTGGAGGAACGAAAGATGTGACACAATCCCGAGGTCTGTCGATAAACATTCAGCAAAAATGAAAAAGTGTTCCCCCAGATTCAGTATGGAAGAAGTTGCCCATAGGTAATCACCTAATGGATAAGCTGAATGTGTATAAGCTGAATAAGCTGAATATAAGCTGAATCTGACGGTTGCAAATTTAGGCATTTGAACTCAGATTGGCATGGTCTATAATGAGTGTGTGAACAATTCAATATATTGTCTGCTGATCTATTGTCAAATTCTCTGAGTATGAATGGAGGACTTACCTGTGGTAATCTTCAAGCACCGTCACTGCTGCAAAACGTAGATGCGTTCCCGTTCCTGATCCTAAATCTGGCTTTTGAGAAACGGAGAGGAAAGGAAAGTAATGAATTTCTCTGAATCCTTGAAATGTCATCTTTGACGCATTATATTAAATAATAATAATAATAATAAATACATAAGACTCTTGGTGACATCAGAAACTTCGTGACTTTCAAGGTCACAGAAATACGTAGGACCATGAAGGAAAGATGGAAAAGCGATAAAAAAAAACTTTAAACAAAATGAAGTAAGGCATATCTCATCCTGTATCTCTCTCTCATTCCCATTTTACCTCCTCTGATTAATGCGTCCCTTCAGTTTCTTACAAAGTACGTTGCACAATTGTACTGGGAAGAACAGATGGAATTTTTCTTTGTAGCCTTGATGGCTTTAGTGGATTTGGGGAAAATTCTAGCTTCAAAACGTAATTATTTCGACACGACGACCGCATCGGTACAGGTCACAGTTTCAGTACGTTATTCCTACGACTGTAAGGGTACCACGGATATTGGCTTGTGTTTGCATTTTGCCGGGTACCTTGTGCCTTTGTCGGTATAACTACCTTCTCTCCGGGCAGGACTTTCACAAATAAATGCAAGAAAATCTGAGATCTCCAGCTCTAAATTGGCAACATGGTTGGACCCTGGAGTGATCGATTGTGTGCTGGTAAGAATGGAATATTAGAGGTAATAAACCCAAATGATTCTGAGACGACAGGGCTCTCCGTGTCGACCCCTCCTTCCGCGAATACCACACCCTAAAGCACTACCAAGGTGGGTGCAATTCGAACCAATAATGCTTGAAGGTCCTTCATCTTACAAACCCAATTTTTTATGCCTAAGCCCCGAGCGGTGCACCCCCCTGCCGATAGGGTTTGCAGTATGATGAATTTTGAATCCCCGTATTTCGTAGGTTAAATATCTCTAATCTGTTCCAATTTCTATTTATACTTTCACTATATGAAGCACTCAATTCATCCCATTTTTGATAGGTTCGTATCCTCTGATAGGTCTTCATGGAATCTGTGGATTGTGCGCTTTTTCCCTCTTTTTCACCGTATAAGTTAAACCTTTAAAAGCCTTTTCGTAAGAGGTTTCGGGAAAAACCGATTAGACCGCAATGGTTATTTTTATTATCTGGCATTCCCATAGGTACTATGGGGAAATGACAGATATTGCGGTCGGCTTGTCACTTTCTTTTCATTCCGTCTGTTCGTAGTAACCATATCGACTGGACAACACAACCCAATGCGAACGCGCAGCTTTCCGCCTGGGTCGGGGTGCCCGTTTTCCAAGAAAACATCCACTTCCCTTCCAGCTGGCGGTTGACGGATCCATAGTAGACAATGGAGGAGAGCGGCTGCTCCCGGCCGCGTTGACAGGGTTGCTAGGCCACGCAACGCGGACGCGCGGACCATCGAGAACATGTCTAGTTGTCCAGGCCTTTTCTTATAGGCCTATGCCGAACCAACAACAGCTATGATTTGATTCCAATGTTGGATGGTTAGGATGCGGTGAATATATGTAATAATTCCAGTGGTACAGGGGCCAGTGGAATGCCAGATATGTACCTGAGCTGGTACTCTCTAGTTTTTTTTTGTATTGACCTCACCCGCTGTATATAAAACTCGGAGGGATTTTTTCCCGGTATTTCAACTATTAATAATCATACTCTAGAGTTTTTATACGTTATAAATTATTTTTTATTGATAAAAATCCTCAAAAGAATGAAAGACAAACTCTGCCTCATTGATTTACTATAAAAATGAATTAATTGCCAATATAACTCTTTTTGACGAAATTCCTAAATGTGAAAGGACCCGTTCTCGTAACTACAATGGGAAAGGCGATGAGATAATCTGGAACGGATGGGGACGGCGTTCCCACAAGCTTTCCCAGGAGTGGGCGCTCCCCAGAATTATTTAATGCTCCCCCTCTCTAATTATTTACTGGGAACTGTCACCCACGAGTGAGCAGTACATTTTTAATCATGCAACGCATCGATGTCGAAAAATAGGATTGATTTAAACCCTGAAGCACAGTAGAAGAAAAGGTATTAACGCTTCTCAACTGCCCTCTCCCAAATTTCCAGAATTCCGAAATGCACTCCTGCCCTCCCATCTGGGAATGCTAAAGGAAGCTGATAAAGTCTCACGTATTTTTTTTCCCATTCAGGCCGTTCTTTCTATACGTGGCCTTCCACGACCCTCATCGCTGTGGTCATTCTCATCCGGAGTACGGTCCCTTCTGCGAGAGATTCGGGGATGGGAGTCCTGGCATGGGACGAATTCCTGATTGGGATCCCCACGTCTTTCCCGCGTCCCAGATCCCCGTCCCAGAATTCCTTCCTGATACCCCCAGGGCTAGAGAGGATCTGGCAGCCTATTTCACCATCATCGATCGACTGGACCAAGGGATAGGATTGATTCTAAAAGAGCTCAAGGATTTCGGGTTCCATGAAAACACCTTGGTCATCTACTCCTCGGACAACGGACCCCCTTTTCCCGATGGAAGAACCAATCTCTACGAACCCGGTTTGTCTTTTATTCTTTTTTATTCTCTGCGTTTTATGCTGGGAACTTCTTTGTGCTTTGAAGGCATAATGCATGCCCATAACCCCTCTAGACTAGGAGTGTCAAACTCATCGGTCGGCGGGCCGTATTCCTCACCCTGCAGATGCCTGTGGACCGCACCTATAGGATCTTGCGCGGAGGGTGCTGAGAGTCAATCCAGGCGGAAATTTCAAGAAAAGACGGCGGGCCATGTATTTGACACCCCTGCCCTAGACAAAGTAAAAGCGAAAGAATATGAGTGTGTTGGCATTCTCTTGCTCGATGTCAAAAAAGCCCGGGATTCAATTTCGTTAGATTCCGCCGAGGCGAAATCTATCTAATCATTTGGATACAAGAATGAAGAGGAAAGGATTCATCCACATGTTGTGCTAAATCTTATTCGGCTTACCTTTGGCTTATCCCTCAAGACTAAAAGTAAAGAGCATGCACAGTCGCAAAGCAGGGAGAAAATTCGCTATACTGTAATACACGACTCGGGATGACTTTCTTTTTTTTTTGCTGAAGCGATCGAGAAAAAGCATTATATGCTTTGAGAATACACGTTAAATAACTATTCCGACCATTTGCAAGGGTCAAGAAGATATGGGAGAGAAACCCAACCACGATAAAATCACTTTCAGGCGTCCACTGAAACGCCTCGTAGCCGAAGCAAGCATTGAAGGTTTTTGCAGGTCGTGCAACAAACTAGGTCCACAGTTCACTTTCGTCCGGAAACGGTTGAGCTGCTCGATAAAACGCCCTTCAAAATAAGAATGGATGCAAAGAAAGACGAAACCGTTTGCACATAATTTTTTCCCGTCCCCTATCAAAGGAGTCCCCAGAGGATGTTGTTTCTTGGTAAACAAAATTTCCCTTAAGCAATTAATATTCTGTACGTCAACTCCCTCGCCTATTCAGTGGAGCAAAAAAGATTCCTGAATTATTCAAATTCTAGTTGTCAGTATCCACTTTCAGCAAATCATATCCCACCCTCAGTCATTTTTTTGGCAGACTTCAAAGGCTTTTTTGTTATTTTTCAGGAGTGCAGATACCCCTTGTGATCAGGTCGCCGTACTTGCCTCGACAAAGACCCAAATCCCCTGCTTTTGTTTCACTGCTGGACGTAATGCCGACGATCTTGGACTGGTTCGAGATTCCCCTTCCAAAATATCGCATATTTGGGGGCAAACACGATCCAATTGTCACTCTCTCCGGCAGATCTCTTCTTCCTCTCCTTGATCCTCAGCAGCAACCGAATGGTAACCGTAAATCGTTATCTTCCATGTTTAAATATCTCGCTCACTGTCGGAGACTGAAAACAGTTGCAGTTGCAGAAAACAATTGAAAACATCTGCCTGATGTCTGATTAAGACATCAAGCAAGGCTCTAGGCTTGTCAGTAAGAGGGTTAATTGCTTTAAGTCCATATTTTCATCCATGGAGCACTTTTTTTTCGAAGCATGGGATCCACCCAGACGTTTTCCACGCAAATGTAACCATGGCAACTAGTAAGTTCTTCATTTGCAGCTGAGATTACCATGAAAATGGTTGAAATTAAAGGTTGATTGGGCAGTGTTATACAGGTTGTCCCAAAATCAGTGTAGTGATTTTATTGGGTTGGTATTGAATCATCGAAACTCATGTCGGCGAATGGACATTTTGTCAAAAGACAATTGAGAGAACGCGACCATACATCGAAGGATTCATAGAAGTGTCTGGAGATCGAAAGGTTTAGGTCACCGAAGGCTTACAAAGCCGAAAAAATACTGGTTTTATTTTCTTCGTTTTGGCCGTCTTGATTCATGTGCCTAGTCAGTTGTGCCTTGGCTATGGTCTAGTTAAATCTCGATGTGCGTTGCACATTTGAATCATGTTAGAAGTGATCAAATCTCCACAAAGGCAGGATAAATTTGTGATGCATACTTTTCCGGAGGAACAAGGTAAGACACTGAAAACCCATTGAGCCTTATAAAGTATGAACACGCTAGAATTTAGGTTTTTACGTAACCCAGTAATTCCATGCCTGTAAGGCATTTGGCTCCTAGCTGCATCCAACTTTTTATTTCCGTGAAGTCGTCGTTCCCTACGCGTCAGGCTGAAGTATAACGTTGAGCAGCTGCTTCAATAAACTCCCAAGAGGCTCTAGAGACTATCAAGTTATAAAGTGAACCTGTGATATTGATATTCTTCAAGGACGAATTCCTCAGAGGCGCTTCGCGGGAAAAAATGCTGTAATTACACGGGGCCTGGTTGCCTGAATATGGCTGTGATACAGATGGAGCAAAGATATGATGAAGTCCCCTTCTGCAAGTACTTACGACAGCACGGTCCATCCAGGCCCATCCAAAAATATCTTATTTTGAGAGGGCTTTCCTCTAATGGTTATTTTTTATTTATTAATGCAACATACCGGTGACTTTCGTATCTGACTAATCGACCTTGACGTTTGCGATGAAACCCATAATTCCAAAATTGCTCTTTTTCCTACACTTTGATGTTTCGACGAAAATCAGTTTTCTTCCGCGAAATATCATTTCCACAAATTTATTAGATATTTGGAGTTTCGTCCTTTAGATAAATCGACCTTTCCAGTTTTTGTCGATGCTACTTTTGATGAATCGGTGTTCGATATTTTGATACGCTCCCATTTTATTTGCCTGCCACACAAAAGTAGGAAAGGATACAGCAACTTTATTTTAACGAACATCACTACACTACTTTTGGGGCATCCTATATATGTTTTTAGTAATAAATAACCTAGGAAAATGGACAGGTTCTGATAGGTTACTAAGTACTGAAATTAGGTACTGAAAGGGTTGCTATTTTTTGCTATCATTTCGGTACGTTCGCGATCCGCAACGTAAGCTCTTTCTGAGCGCTTCCAGTGTCCAGTTATCATTTCTCACCAAAAATCCAGAAATGCAAAGAGGCAATTCTGTGCATTCTCATAATCTTTCATTCCGAAGGATAATTTAGGCTACCTTCCGTCATTTCTCATCTGGCTTAGCACCCGCACGTTAAAGCCAATGTCGGGAGACGGTGGGTGTGAGTGGAGAGGGCTTGAAAGAAAATTCCATGCTCCAGTTCACACAATCCAGTCTCCTGAGCTCAGATTCATGAAACACTTTACAAAAGAGATCCAAAGTCAACCCCATGGCAAAACCAAATTTAATCATGAGCTGTCGGGTCCTGTCCAGGGGCGATCCAATCACGCCAGAGAGCAACTACAGAATATAAATGAGAGTGGAAGAAAGGAAAATGTTTGATATCCAGATGGAAGCCTCCGCCCGATCGTTGAATTCTTTGTGTGCACCCATCGCCTTGGATCATTCGATAAGCAGCTCCGGACACGAATCAGAATCGTCAGTGGAGTAGAGCAGGGCAATCGTTATAGTTTTGGAGGAAGAGGGTCCTGAGGGCTGGTCATCACTTGCCAATCGCCCATCGTTCCTGGAGTTGAGAGGAGGTAGTTTTTGAGGTTCAAACTCGATGGAGATGTAGTCTGCCAATCGTTGGGGACATCTGTAAGAATGACAGTTTCAGATTGAGCAGTCGTTAGCCCAACTTATCGGGAACGGGAGTCAATTAGAGCTCATGCTGTATAACGATGCGAAGGAAAGGAGCGTCGTGTGACACTACATTTAAGTCAAGACATTTAAGTGGGCTCGTCTGATGTCGCTACTCTTTCGTCCTGAAAATGGAATTTCGAAATTCCAACTCTGCGCAGGCATCGATGAAGAGGTATAGGACTGCACAATTTTGGCCACTTGTAATACACGCACATCTGAAAGATTGACGCGAGAGAAAAAATGATAATCAATCATCTCTCTGCTCTAGCTTTGATTTCCTTAGAGACGAACACGACTTCCTTTATAATGCAATAGACTCTGCTTGTGCGTGTCTGGGAGCATATATTGCAAGAGAAGAGATGAAAAATTAATTGGCGATGGCTCATGTCAGGCATTATTCAATATTATCGAATGTGTGTTTATTGCATATCAGACTGACTTGCTTCAGTCTGCCTTAAAGTCTTTCTCACAATTCCTGATCTCTACTTTTTCTGGGTATTTAAGAAAAAAAAAAGAATAAGAGCTAAAGGTATGGTGGGCCCTGCTGCCATGTGGTGGACCGTTACATAGCCCCCGCCACACCACGGTGAGATCCTCCCAACACCAGGGCTGGCAGAGTGCAAGACCCTGGTGGAGCTGGTGTAATTGCCATGGGAAGATGTCCCATGACTAAGGTGCGATGACGTATCTGGAAACCAGATCCGTCCCCGCACCTGGATCTCTCCCTTTTTCACATTTTAGCTGTTACGTCTATTTATGTTTGAAGACTCCCGTACAGAAAAAGTTTCAACATGTTGAAATTGAAGCCGGTGAATCAACGGTGATTCACCGTTGATTCACCGGTTTTCAACTTCTATTCAATAGGGGTTCAACACTATTCACCATTGAGTTATAATTATTATAATATATTATGAATAATTTATTTAAAGCAAAATTTATGGAAATGTACAGTGAAAAGTGATTTCAACAACGAAATGGAGATGAAGTAATATCAATCATGGAAATACTCTGATGTGATTCTCGCCTTATATGATTGGTGTAACATTCAAGTGGGTTCGACGTTACTGTGATGTCCGCTATGGAATACTCGTATCTACTCCAGCGGAAAGACGTGAGTGACGTCCAGTATGGTACAGTATTGCACTTCAATGACATCTCATGGATGTATTACCGCCTTGTTTAATGACCGGCTCGATGGGTTAACACTGAGGCTATGTTTGAGATATGTTAATCACAACACCCATATGGGTGTTGTGATTTACGAATAAAAACATGACTTGCGCAAGAGAATCCCATCGTACAATAGTCGGCAAAATTGTATATCTAAGCAATATAAGCTCACGACTTGTCGGTCTGATTACTAGTCTCAGAATTCTGAATGCATTTTACATTAGCCTTAACCGGGCTGAATAGTTGAAATTTCACAGATCCTCAGTTAAGCTAGCCTAACGCCAAAGGAACCAATTCACATCACTGCACAACATCTTTAAGCCGAACTACTGACACTGAGAGAGACTGACTTTCAGTCCTGACGGCTACCGAGAGATGTGGGGAATAGCATAGTTCAACTGCGTCTCACAAGGATAAAAAGACAAGCGCGAAGGTGCTAGGGGGAACTTTCCCCCTAAGCATCAGATAAATATCGGGGATTCCCCTCTCCCAAGCTGTCAGAGGACAGTTTCTTTTTTTTTTTCAACACCCGCTGTTGATTCACCGGTGAATCAACGTTGATTCAACGGTGAATAACCGGTGAGATTTTTGTACGGGCAGAGAGCGGCCATTTACTAGGAATCAACCTGTAGTTAAATAGGTTAGTGATTCGGGGCGAATTATCTGTAGGTCCACCTTTTCAGGAAGAGGTTGAGAGCTTTATGTCCCAGCAGTTGTGAATTTACTCCGTGTATTTACAGTTTTTATGTAGGTCCTATTAAGATTTACATCCTATCGGAAGTGAGTTAAGGGAAAGAAGCCCCAAGAAAAGAGGTGTTTCCAGGTGCTAGCTGGACGGAAGGGCCTTATCAGACGCCCTGGTGACAAGATATCAGGCGGAAGGTTATGAGAGATCGGCGATGCTTTACTCCTAGGGTTCATGCGAAAGGAAGAGTAAGAATGATAACAGGGTTAGGCCGCAAAGGTGAGAGTGAGAAGGGTATGTTTTTTTCCTTCGTGCTTAGAATGAGAGAGAGAAAGAGGAAGGGGGAGAGAGATGAAGGTGCCAGAAAAAGTTAGGGAAGGGGTGTTGAGAAAGAAGTGTAGAGGACCAGTTAGAACTGGTTTTAAAAATCCCGTGAGGCAGAAAAAAAAAGAAGCACTGCTGTCGGGTGATATTTTTATAGAGTAGAAAAGGTAGAAATAAAAAGAAGGAAGGAGGTCCTTGTCGATTCCCCCCTCTCGCGTGGCAGAAAAAAGGCACTGCCAACGTGAGATAGATGGGATCAGGATTGTGAAGGGTTCAAATAGAGGTGTTGTTATTTCCGAGGCGTTGCATAATTTTATTATAGTGATTGGTCTTATTGTGCTTGAAGCGCCCAATAGTTAACTTTTTATTTATTCTTTCAGGAACTTCTAATAAAATATTTAGGGGATCCCGATTTTATTATATCACGGTGTATATAAGTAGGAACTGGGGAAGTAAGTGGGGAGGGAGAAGGTGTATCTGATTGCAGCTCGTTCGATGACTTCTAGTCTATTGAGGACTGTCTCTGTGCAATTGGCCCAAGCTGCGAACGCGTACGTTAAGACCGAGCGGAGGTACCCTACATATAATTTCAAAATTACGTGAGGTTCGCATCTGTTAATTCCAGCCAGGATTTTTAAGCAGTTACGTTTTTAAATTGTTTTTGAGCGTATTACTTTTACATGATTATTCCATATTAAATTACTGTCAAAATGTACGCCAAGGAATCGGATGAAGCGCGATCGCGGGATGAGCACACCGTCCAGGCGGACGTTTACAGAGTGTGGTTTTCTGTCACGGGCGAACAGAAGGAGGGAGGACTTGGAGGGATTCATGCTAATGCGCCAGTTATGACAGTACTTCGAAAAAGCGATAAGCGCAGCCTGGGCCCGCGATTCGAGGGCAGTGACCTCTGCCTGAGAGTCAAGAGGGCGATATCGTCCGCGTATTTGCTCGTACGAACGTTAATCTTACGAGGGATAGAGCTAGAAAGATAGTTTACGCAGGGAATGAAAAGAAGGGGTGCAGTTACATAGCCCTGCAGAACTCCCGCAGTGTGGAGCGGATCTCGGAAAAAGAGTTCCCGACCCTTACCCTGAAGAATCTGTCTGATATTATAAGAGGCTGTCCATCTCAAAAGCTGCAGGGGTATTTTAAAGTGAAAGGAAAGTTAGTAGATTAGCCCTGCATGTCAGACCTTATCAAAGGCTTTAGTGACATCAAAGAAGAGAGCAAGAAGGTACTTTTTACCGTGGACAGCCACCAATGCGTCATGATGGGGACGAACGAGCTGGTTAGTAATACAAAGATTCCTGCGAAAGCCTGACAGTGAAGGAGAAAGTAGGTTATTCAATTCTAACTAGTCATGTAGACAGGAAATAAGAATTCATTTTAAAAGTTTTCTGGGGGGTCTACAGCTGATTATATGAGAGTAAAATCGATGCGAAAAGCCCCCATTTTCTTCTTATACCTCTTATACCTAAGATGGGGTGCTTCGCTTTTGCCCACATTCGCATTTTGCCACTTGACCTGAGGCATTAGCACTTCCCCACTGCGACGGAGAGCGGCAACACTGGAAGACGTGATTTCTAAATCGAAGAGTAGATGTCGTACGATAAAGACAGCAGATACATCTGCCGAAATGCGAAAGA